CCATTCCTTTCCGGTAATTTCTACAGCCTAACCCTGACCACCAACCCTAAGGCCAACCTCACAGGTACTTACCTGACCCTAAAACTAACCTAAACTAACCAACCCCTAACCCAAAAATGGAGTTCCACCATATTAGGACCGGTCTTTGGTCCCCATTAGGACTGATGGTCTTCACAAGGTAGGTGTGTATACTGGAAACGGTCCTAAACAGGTAACATAAACAAGTACACACACACACAGTAAATAAATAAATATAGTTTGAGTTCTTTTTTTTTTTTTTAAAGAACTCTAATTAGTGGATTCAGTTGTTGTTGCTGGTGAGACATCGTGTCCAGTGTCCGGGTCTGTCCCAGCAGTCGGTCCGGGTCCAGCAGCCCTGATGTCCCGCCCCCTGTGCAGAGTCCTGCTGTCTGGTTCTGGGTGGGGGGTTACAGGGTATCTGGCCTACCGGATTTACCGGACTCCACCTGTCAGTGTTGCTGCTGCTTTTTACTCTGACTGTGCGCGTGCGCGCGCGGGGAGGGATTAGCAGGGCTCGTGCTGTTGAACACAACAGCTACATCACAGTCCGGCTGAAGGCTCGGATTTTTCTTTCCATTGTTCGGTTCTGTCTGCTCCTCCCGTCTCCCGGGTCGGAACAACCCGCTGTCCTGGTTCCGGTGGATGGTTTCATCCGCAGAGCCGAACCGGACCGAACCGAGCAGGATGTCCAGACTGCCGCCGCCGCAGAGGAAGACCCCTGTCCGCATGACGGAGACCATGGTGGAGGTCAAGAGCAAAGTGAGTGTTCAGTTCTGGTTCGGACAACATCCCGGAGTGGGCTTTGTTTCGGTTCTGTCCTTCGACAGATCAGGTGAGAGCCGGGTTCGGGTCTCGCTTCCGCTTGAAACAGCTGACTGCTCCGGGTCCAGACGGCCCAGCAGTCTACAGCTGGGACTGGACCTGATCCGCTTCTGACAGCTGTGGTTCTGTTCGGTTTTAGACCCGCATCAGTGTAAACAGAGTGGTTCTGATCCAGATCAGACCCACATCAGTGTAAACAGAACTGTTCTGATCCAGATCAGACCCACATCAGTGTTAATGGAGGTGGGTCTCTTTCGGATCAGAACCAATCAGTGTTAACAGGTATCTGACTGTAAACAGTGGAAACTCTAACTTGTTGACAAACAAACAAAGCAGTAAACAGCAGGGTTAGTGCAGGTCTCAGTTAGTCCCAGACACCTGGGTTCTGGGCAGCTTGTAGACCAGGTTCAGAGTCCTGTGGGCCTGAGGAAGTACTGAATCATTACTTTTACACAGTACTGATGATGTATTACAGTACATGTACATCCTGAAACACTGAAACCTCTTCAGAACTTTGAGTAATCTCGTGCAGACAGGCAAACAAACCAAAAGCGAGCAATAAACGATAAAGTAAAAATAATAAAACAATTACAATAATGATATTTTAATGATCAAAAACTACAATAAAAATAAAAACCTGCATCCTAATTTACATTGTATTACTGACATGTAACATACTGAACATGTAGACTGAGTATGTGCCGCTGTGCTGACACATTACCCAGGCGGAGGAAAAAGTAGTTCCCACCAACTGCGCAATATTTCAGTGGTTTAGTTATTTTCCAGAGTTCCTGTTATTGATACAAGTTACCTGAAAGGACTGAAGTAGAAAAGTTTCCATATTTTGACTTGAGAAATGAGTTCAGAACATAAAGTTCTGGTGTTGGTGGTATCAATATTTCAGTATCGATCTGCACCATGCTCCAGGAGCACAGGACTGATGCACAGCAGTGTGACGTCCGCCTCGCAGGTGAGCGCTCAGGTGGGAAAGGAGAGGCCATTTCAGCCATGTGGACCAAGTCTGTTGGTTTTCCTTCAGTCGAGAAACAAAATGTTGTGTTCCTTTGACCAAACCTGGATGTATTTGTCAGGGTCCTGTACGACTGGTCCAAGAAGAGTAGCAGCTGCAGCCTCAGTGTCTGATCAGGGCACAGAGCTAATCCAAGGCTAATGCTTCAAAACAATGACTTTTTTGGCATCCACACTTGCTGCTGCAGGCTAGAGGTCTTTAATGGGGGAGTGACAGAAAGTCTGCATGTTGGTTTGATTTTGATCATATGTCATCTTTAACAGAGTTCCTGGATAGGAATAGGAACTAATCGTAGTTGTGCTGAAAATGATCAAGGTGATGATTGTGAAACAAAAGCACTGCTTTTATAAGTAGTTATTAACTGTTTCTTGATGGGCAGCAGAGTGGTGCAGTGGCTATAGCTGTTGCCTCACAGAGAGAAGGTTGCAGGTTTGCCTCCCAGTCTGTGATGGTCTGGAGACTTGTCCAGATGTCTGTGATGGTAAATGGACTGTACTTTACTTATAGCATCTGTCTATCTAACCAGGGTACTCAAATTGCTTCCCTCATGTATCCATTCACACACATTCACACAGCACTCTAAATACAGCGTTTCCCAAAGTTGGGGTCGGGACCCAAAGTGGGGTCCCGAAACTTCAAGATGGGGTCCTGAAAAGATTTTCTGAATTAATTCCATTTTTGCCTTAGTTGTTACAAAGGAGTGAGGTTAGTATATTTAAAATGGATAAATGTAGTATAAAATATTGTTACTTTGCCCATGTTTAATTGACCTG